AGTTTACAAAATCCATTACAACCAACTTGCTACATACTACCAGTGTTTCAAGGCTTAAGCAACTCTATCATTAATGCGCTTGACTTGCAGATGATTCCATCTAAGGAAAGAAATAACCAGATTTTTTTTCATTTAATATGCTTGTTGTTTTTATACCTCAAAAGAAATGTATGGTTTTTTCTCTAACTTATACAGGGTTCATAGCCACATTTTGGTTAAAAAAATAAGCACCTATAAGCACTTTTCAAGCATATTTTAAGAAAAAAAATAAGCACCTGCCTAATTACATCATACACGACTGCATAACCTTAAAAATTAGACTTGTAATTTAAAATATGAGAAATGAAGTGCTTATTAAGAGAGAATAAGCATTACTGCAACCATGGAAAATAATTACTTTTTTGGGGGGGTTAATTTTAAATAATAGTTCAATTTACAGAGCTAGTTTACAATGAGTGGAAAAAAAAAACTATGAAGAACTAAACTATATTACAAGATTTAATGATGAAATTTCAGTTCAAAATAGAGAAAATAAATAAATAATAAGGCATATTTATTATATTCGCTTGGAACCTAATAATAAATACAATTTATTTTTCCACTCATAATGATATTTAAATAATTTAAATCTAAATTCTGAACATTTTCTAAATTTTAATTGTATAACAGTTTTCTCTTAACAGATATTACAAGTAAAGTAATTTAAGTAAAAAAGAGGAACATTTCTGAAATCAGAAGACAGAAATTTTCTTCATGCAATCATCTTTAACAGAAAGCTTAACTAACCCGCATACTTGGAAATTGGCGAATATTCGGACAGTCGAGTGTAACTTGAAGGAGCGGATGGGGGGGGGGGGGGTTCATTAAAAAAAAAAAAAGCACTAAAAACAAAAAAAATAAGGGCTTTAAAGGAAAAGTAAGCACCTATAAGGGCCTTTATAATTTATTTTCAAATATAAGGACTTATAAGCACTTATAAAGACCGCTACCAACCCTGTTATACAGTCATTCACATATAATTCGCAGATTCTCAGTGAGCTGAATCAGTCTGCTTTTTATAAATTGAAAGATATAAAAGCAATATATTCTTTTGCGCGAAGCAAAAGACCCATCTTTCACGCCCCATCACGCATAGACATTTCATTCGTCAAAGGATAAATATTTTAATTTTAAAATACAAGCAAACTGTCGTTTAACACGGCAAATGTCTTAAAAGCAATAAATGCACTTAAGAATTTAATTTTTTTATACTTTTTTTAGTTCTTATTAATATTTGCGTTTTGTTGTAACCAATATAAGATATTTCTAATGTTATAATTTTAATTGATTAGTGGAATTAATTGGTATATGATTAATTAATTGGTATAAGATTATTTGATTCTTAATTTTTATGTTTGTTTCACAATTTTAAAGCTTGGTTGATCTTTACAATATGGTAACTGGTAGTTTGGCGACATTCTGGAGGCGATAAAGGTTACTACCTAGGACTTTGGGAATAATGTGAGCAGTACTCAGTTCCGATTACGCATTATTTTGTGTGAGGGAAGGCGAGATCATGGGATATGTCATGTGATATTAATGGACGAATTATGGTTCTTTAATCGGAAAAGGGGGGAAATCGGGAAAAAAATCTGGAAATTTAGTATTTGGTTTTATTCTGTGTTGTGGAAACAGTGTTCGTGAATTTTGGATCCCATGGCCGTAACTAAAGAAAAGTTATCGGACACGTAATCAAGATTCTGAAGAAGATTAGGTAAGTTAGTATTTTAAATTATTTGAGGATATATTTTTATGCATTGTTCTAAATGTAAGGTGGAAGTAAAGGAATTTGGTATTGTTGGGAAAATTGTTATTAGCAATGATTTAGTTTAAAGTAATTAGGATTGTAAGGTAATTTTTATTAATTTATGTATGTGCTCATTTATATTTTAAGTAGTGTTTTTGAATTTAATTATTTTAATTAATGATACTTATTTTGTGAATTTTATGTTTTGTAGGAATTTGGTATACGTTTAAGTTGAAGTAAACGTGCATGGAAATAATTTAAATATTTGATACTAAGTATTTGTAATGCTTGCGGTATGAATTCGTTGGTGACGTGTATAATGTAATAGATGATTTAAAAGTAAAAGTTTTTGGACATTTTATTTATTTTATATGTGGAAATGTTCATATTTGGAAAGGGTAAATACTTTTTCGCGATCAGGTAATTTTCATATATGTTTCTTTTAACCGGGTTTAAAGATTGAGAATGTTGTCATGTATTTTCGTGAAATTTTTCTAATTTATGAGAAAAAAGCAGTGTACATGAATATAGTGAAGAGTGTGCGGCAATGCCATTTTTGTGCAATTCTGGGATGTTTTTTTTAAGTAAAAATAAGTCGGCGTGTACATGGTTTATGTGTATGTGTTATTTTGAAAAACGCGCAAGGAGTGTGGTATTGTGCACTTTTTCCCAATTTTGCAGTGAATATTTGTCATGATTAAGCAGTTTGTTAGATAAAATTTCTAGCATAAGTGTAATTCGGCTAGTAGATTGTTGGAAGAAGTGTTCAGTAGATAAAAAGAAAAGAAACATGTCTTTACTTCGTGAAGACAAAATGGCGGCGGGAAAAAAAAATAGAGGGTTGCTGTAGGAGAGTTGGTCGCCAAATTTTCACCAAAAAAATGCCAAGTTAGAATAATGTAAAGATCAACCTAAAGCTTTAATATTTTTCTAACAATTAATATAGGATATAATTTTCATAATGTCTGCTATAAAATATTGTCAGAGTTTTTTATACAATCGCAAATTAAAATCAAATTAACGTCTTTAAAAAATAAAAATAAAAAATTTCCCCTCGTTCACTGTTTTGGTAACAAGTCGCATAAAATCTTAATTAAAAGAAAATAACTTACTACCAGATTTTCCAAATTTATATATATTTTACTTTTAACTAAGCAAACGGTTTGGAGAAAAGCTTTTTATTTAAACTTGCGTGGAACACATTGTTAGCTCTTCCTGTTTTAAATTTTAAGCAGCGATTAGGTTTTTAAATGTTATCAAATTCTTAGTATGTTCACATTTAGATAATAGTGAAATATTTAACATAAATTAAGACAATTAATAACATGCCCTACATTTTACACTATAATGAACTATTAATTTCAACTGCAGCTTCACTGCTTAAAAAGATTGTTATTTAAATACGCTGGATTTGGCAAGAAATCGCCAAATGCGTAGCAAATTGGAGGAATTGAATATCCGCGGGCAGTTCACTGCGTATGGATAACTTAAGAACAGGGTAAAAAGCTGTGAAAAGATCATTCTAGCCTTTTTGACAGTCACTGGAAAATATTTTTTTATTCTTATTTTGCAAAGTTTAGTTGCATCAAAAGTTTGGAAATTAGGAGAAGCATCCATTCTGGGACTACATGACTTACATTAAAGCGTTAAAGGTTGATCTTTACAATATGGTAACTGATAGTTTGGCGACATTTTGGAGGCGATAAAGGTTACTACCTGGGACATTGGTAATAATGTGAGCAGTACTCAGTTCCGATTATGCATTATTTTGTGTGAGGGAAATGAGAGATCATGGGATATGTCATGTGATATTAATGGACGAATTACGGTTCTTTAATGGGAAAAGGGGGGAAACCGGGAAAAAATCTGGAAATTTGTATTTGGCTTTATTCTGTGTTGGTGAAACAGTGTTCTGAATTTTGGATCCCATGGCCGTAACTAAAGTGAATTCCAAATGGGTATTTATGTATGTATTAATTTAATGTATGTGCTCATTTATATTTTAAGTAGTGTTTTTGAATTAATTATATTTAATTAAATGACAGTTATTTTGTGAGTTTTATGTTTGTAGGAATTTGGTATATACGTTTAAGTTGAAGTAAACGTGCATGGAAATAATTTAAATATTGATACTAAGTATTGTAATGCTGCGGTATGAATTCGTTGGTGACGTGTATAATGTATAGATGATTTAGAGGTAAAGTTTTTGGATATTTTATTTATTTTATATGTGGAAATGTTCATATTTGGAAGGGTAAATACTTTTTCGCGATCAGGTAATTTCATATATGTTCTTTTTTACCGGGTTTAAAGATTGAGAAATTGTCATGTATTTTCGTGAAATTTTTCTAATTTATGAGAAAAAAGCAGTGTACCTGGATATAGTGAAGAGTGTGCGCAATGCCATTTTTGTGCAATTCTGGGATGTTTTTTTAAGTAAAATAAGTCGGCGTGTACATGGTTTATGGTGTATGTGTTTATTTGAAAAACGCGCAAGGAGTATGGTATTGTGCACTTTTCCCAATTTTGTGAATGAATTTGTCATGATTAAGCAGTTTTGTTAGATAAAATTTCTAGCATAAGTGTAATTCGGCTAGTAGATTGTTGGAAGAAGTGTCAGTAGATAAAAAAGAAAGAACATGTCTTTACTTCGTGAAGACAAAATGGCGGCGGGAAAAAAAAATAGAGGGTTGCTGTAGGAGAGTTGGTCGCCAAAAAAACGCCAAGTTACCATAATGTAAAGATCAACGAAGAATTATATGTGTTGCAGTCATTCAAAGCTGATAATTACACATAGCCAAGAACACATGAGATGAGTACTTTGGTTGTTCTTTTAAATACGCTTTCAGCACTATTTTAGATGACAGCAATCTTGGTTACACTGCTTCTTAGTATCATTCTTAACATAAAAAAACTGCCAAAATCTCTAAAATTTTACCCTCTCCATACAAAGAAAAATTTATAACTGATAACACCCTTACAACCATAAAACTATTTAATTTCCTTAAGGTTCAACAAAATAATGGCATTTTAATAAAAATTTTCTCTTGGAATATACACAGAATAAACTAGCTTTCGTATTTCAAAAACATATTAAATAAAAAAAATATAAAAAAGATGAAACAAAATATCTTGATAACAATATTTAAATCCTATTTATTGTAAAAATAAAATTTAGATTAAATTATCATATGCATAATCTAAAATATTTTACCTCCATTCATTTTTAAACTCTCAATCATTTCAGGATATGAATTGTCATACTGCATCTGAGCATCAACCATCTTAGCTGATGATTCCAACACCTCTTTCTGCATTCCATTAGCAGAATGCATGGTACTAGTCTCTAATACTGAAGATATGGCCATTTTCCTATTTATACAGAAAATAATTTAACTTGTGCAGATTAAATATATGTACAAAATTACAACAAATAATATTCTAGGAATATAAAAGGAAAGTAATACACGAATTAATACTGCAGATGAGATTTATAAACTATCATTACAAACTTAATTCACTGCAATCCACAACAAAAAGGCTTTTTGAAAGATTCCCACAGTTAATAAATTTATAAATTATTCTAAATGAATAAAATACATAATTTTACCTTTTACTATACTAAAATTCGCAAGCATTATAATAATCCCATCATGAAACTTCCGATGCTTTTTATTACTATATGCACAAGGAAAACAATGTAGTGACCAAGAAAGGGCAAGCCATCAAATCACTTAAAAATCATTATCGTGAGTCTAATAAGCGAAATATGATCACTTAAAGTAAGAGAATTTTTTAAAATAGGAAATTTAGAATTAAATATACAAGATACGTTATGTAAGAATTTAGATTAACTTTACATGGGACCAAACTTTGTAAAGAAACCACTAACACATTTTGAATTAAGAAATAACCACACCACGCAGTGTTGCCAAACGTTATCAAAATTTTAAATAGTTACGATTACAGCATAAAATTTGTACCAATAAAAGTTATTCATTATTCAATTCAGGGACGTCATGTAAGCTCTTGAGTAAAATTTACTTTTATTTAGGTCGTTAGAATACCATGTTCGGTACTTAGAAAACTTAGTGCAGAAAGAGGGGAATAAAACTAACACTAAATTTCTTCAAAGAGGCAGCGAGAGTGGTATCTAGTTGGCCTTGGAGTGGCCATAACCAAGTCCATGGTTACCGCTCCGAGTCCTTGGAAAGGAAAAAAGAACATCCATGTTATAGTCGGTGTTGCTCTAACGCAGTGGTCGGCAAACTCATTATTCAACGGAGTCAATTGTTATTAATAGTTCAACGAATCAAATCTATTTTGAGAGCCACATTTTTAAATTTAAATTATACAGGTAGGTATATTTTTATTTACTTAATTAGTGTACTCTTATGCTAGCTTTTACTAAGAAGGTCCTCATTCGAATCAACATACATTCGCTGAGATCGACCCTCTTCCAACTCTCCCTCCCACACTTGTCTTGTACATACTTGTTTCCTGTATCTTCTTTCGCTCATTTTCTATATATGTTCAAACCATCCTAATGTACTTTTCTCAATTCTCAAGACTACATCCTTCTTCACTCCACAACATCCCTAAAATTAACTTAATACTTCAGCTTTTAAGTCTTAGTTAATATGGTTCGTTGACGAATGTCTGCCTACTCTTTTTACCATAAGCAAATTTAGCACTGTATTATCGCATAAAAAAAAGTGCAGTGAAGTACTGCAAAGGTCTGCTGCTACATAGAATGAATCGTCGGAATTCTGTTGAATTAAAAAAATGGCATACATTATCATATTATTACTAATATTTGCTGAATATCACTTTCATTTTTTAGCGTTTTTCAGATTAGTATCAAAATTGAAAAATAGAGGGCGCCACAACTGCATTTGGAAAGATAGTCAGTTTTCCTTTTGCTGAAACATTTAATTCTTTCCATTAAAATGGTTAATTTTTTACCTTAGAAAATGAAGTAACATTTACGGATTCACCATGACACAATTCATTCATCAAAATGTTATTTCTACAGCAGTAAACGTGCATATTCATTGATTACATTCAAATACTTTGCAAACCTTAAAGTTTCTGTAACGTCATTGCATCTTTCGCCAAGTAGGAAACCTGGTGAATTTTTATCACGCATATGTCTCCTCTACAGGGTTGAACAGGTTTTGAATATAGATACTCCCTGCCTCAAGATATTTGGGACAAAACATTGAATGCTTTCAATAGCCAATCAATCCAACAAAACGCTGAATGCTTTCAATAGCCATCTATAGAGTCTGGAAACCGTAACGACTCAGTGGATTCAATGAACAATTTCTCAAGCGCAGGACTGGCGCTGCGATCACGAAAGCTGGAGGCAGTATCTAAACATAGCTCCGAAATTTTTAAATAAGTGTTTCAGTAAATGTTTTCAACTCTCTAAAAAAGTTTAATGCATCTTTTCTCTGCAATGCCTCATCTATCAAATTGAAAAAGGACAATTCGCTTCTTCGAAACTTCAAATATCTTGTTGACTGTTCACTATCAACATGAGAAATCCAAAAGACACCCTGCCACGGAATATTCAGATAAGTAACATTCTGTTCTCTATACAATATTTTATTCTCTATCACTAAAGTGCCATTAAATTTCTTTATTTATTATTTTCGTATGATTCTAGCATTATACAATAGTTAGTAATTAATAGTAAGTAATGTGGTTGGTTCTTTATGTTTTTTGGAACTATTCCGTAGAGACGCCACATTCCTTATCAGTAATCCGTTCTTATCAGCAATTCATACCCTTCGGAGGCCCTTCCTTTCGTGCTTAGGAATTTCTTGACAGGGAAAATGGGGATCTCTTGACCATCGATGAGCATAGATTGTGATTTTTGTAACTAAGATCCTCGACTTTTTTTTCAGATCTCAAACTTAGAATTATGAGCAAATATAAATACAGCGTGACGGAATTTGTTAAATTTGTACTAGAATAAATTGCAACGGTTAAATTAATTTTATATTTAACTAATATTTAAGAAATATAACTCTATAATTTATTTATTTATTTTTGCTGATATGCTCTCACACTGTGTATGGATTTATGATTTTGTCAATTACTGTTTTTCTGAAATATACACGAATTTTGGGGAACAGTAATAGTTAACGTTACTTTAGTTAAAAATAATATGTACATCTTTGTGATGATATGCGTCTTTTGTAGTTAGGTCTCAAAACAAAGGCATACACATTGCCATGCAGGAACATTTTTTTTTTTAACTTAGCCAAAGTTTGCTTCTTAAGACACTAATTTTTTGCAAATGAACACAACTTCCTCCCCTTTTGTCTACACTCATGGACACAATCATATTGCAGGAACTTTTCCACTTCCTTTCCTTTTCTCTATATAAGGTCTTTTTTCCCTCTTCTATTACATTTGGGCCATTTATTTTTTCTTCTATTTTGTCCCATTTTTCGTCCTGGCCTTTCGAACTCGTATTAAATGTACGAAGTTCTTTTATACTCTCCTCTGAAATACGAAATTTCCCTTTTCCTATATACCTTTCCTTCGCACCTAAGCTTGATTTTTCGGCTATCGGAGCAGAAAGACTTAACGAGTGCAAAACAAGACATCGGTCTACTTTGTCTATCTGTCTTCTCAAGCCCAATGTTTGGCACTCCACTAAATATAATTCAAATGATAAATTGCTTGACTAATACTCTTAATAAATATCCAGCTAAGGGTTATGGAAGAATGTGGAAAGATCATTCGATATTTTTTCAGAGCTTTAGGGATATCTTTAAAACTTCCTCAGTTACCAATTTTGGACGTAAAATCTCCAATTCTGAACTGATATTTAATTTGGGGTAATTTATAGAAATTAATCACAGAAAACGAATAAGTTAAAATTATACTTATATTTTCTGAATAATCTCATTATATATTAGGTCAGCACTTCATTGAATACGTTAAAATTAAGCATAACTAAAACGAATTTAAAAGAGTCTTCAATTATTAGGGATAATGTGTTATTTTACAATATATAAAGTTTCGTTAAAGTAAATATTTGTCTTTTGAATTACCCTTACAATATGAAGCTTCTTGTTGAATATTTTAATGTTATTTCGTGCACATATAGTATGATCACTTGTTCCCCCAAACGAAGTTAATGGCATTACAGGGTCACATAATATAAGTTAATTCATCGCGAGAAGGATGGCATAATTGAAAATTAAGGAACATCTCAAGGGATAAATCGTAAAATTCGGCGAATATTTCGCAGCCGAGGATTTTCACTTATACTTTCTTTTAAAGAATTTGCTAGACAACGACGCATTAAGTTATATTTATTTTCAAACAGTTAAGCTTTACCAGTGTTAACAGAACCATTACAAGAAATCAAGATCTTGATTTAAGCTGATAGTATAATTTAATACGCTATACGCTGCACAGACTTTTTTCTATTTGGTATCTGTTATCGTCATTGGTTTGGTTATTGATATAATTACGTCAAAGCACACAAAGACTATCTGCGTACATGCGGAAATGCCTTCCTTGAGGACTTTCTAGGTGAAATTGGCTTGTACCATGCTACACATGGGGAAAATCACGAAATCACTCATGCAACCAGGACATTTGCTGCCATTCAAATTTCACACAGATCGTATTTTCTTCTCGAGTGTCAAGATGTGGAAACACCTTTTCACTCGGATTCTGATAACAATCTGAAAGCAAAAGAAAGAAGAGTAGTGTAGTACAAGGTGTGGGAGGGAGATAAAAAGAGTTAGACAAAGAATATAAGAGAGCTTTAGATCTTTGCTCTTACGTAGAATTTACATTTATACTAAAAACATTTCTAAGAGTAAAGATCAGGTGCTCACCTAAAGTTTTAGGAGACTACTGGCGAGTTTCCTTCGCTGGAACCACTTTTTATGGAGAACGCCCAAATAATTAGTTTTGTATAATTACCGTCTAGATTTTGCAGAGTACTTGATCTTCATTATATCACTTTTTAGTAAATTTATATTATATATGCTATGTAATTTCAAAAAATAAGCTTAAAATAGGATGAATATTTGCACATTCTACTGAATTGCCTAGATCTGAACACTTTCTTTTACTTCCAAATTTTTATCTTATGTCTGCATGACCTGCATTTTTTCCGTTTGCCTTCCTATTACTGATAGGAAAAATTACAGTTACATGAGAGATTTGGAATACCGAAGTTCATATGAATGTTGAATAATGAGAATAAATCTGTCATAATCTATTAATACTCTGAATAATAAAATTTTAAGAAAACATCAGTTTCATTCACGTGAATAAAATAAATACATTTAAAAAAAAACATCCAGTAAATCTATCGCAAGTGTCAACATAAACGATCTACAAACATATTTTTAAGTATTTAAATAACACATAAACTGAAGATGAACCAAAAAAAGTATCGGGAATTTATTGGCATATACCAACAGCAAAGAGAAAACAGTTTCGAAGTCTCTAAAAGACTAAATAGAGCACATTCTCAAAACGTTTGTGAAAAGACAATAACATCATAAATACATAAATTTTATGGAACATGGTATTATTTAAAAATTTTCATTCGAAATTTTAGTTCTGATATAGGAAAATACACATTAAGTAATTAAATGTGGGTATTCTTGTACATGTTTGTAAAGAAACAAATATATAAATTTTTAGGAAAATTTTGCATGTTTTCTATTTTGGTAATAATACTGGTTAAGAAAATTTTCTGTACTGAACGTTGAGTAGAATATATCAGGAATCTGCAAAATTATTAATGAAACGTTCAGTTTAACCCTTGAGATTTTACTAAAGAAGGCTCGGTAATAACTAAAGAAGAAGAAAAGATTTTACTAAAGAAGGCTCAGAATGCTCGTTAAAATTGTGCTTACAGAAGGAAAAAATGTGTCTTTTTTTT